ATAATAATAATAATAATAATATTTATTTTGAGTCGCTAAGAAAATTTACATTTTATGGACCAGTCAGTTAATAAAATACAAACTACATACAATAATACAAACTACAATTAAATATAACAATTTCAAGTTACAAGAAAATACATTTATCAGTTGCTATTTTAGTAAAATCGTCAATACTATAAAGACAATGCTCAGTCAGTATGTTTTTCAATTTGTACTTAAATATTTTAAACGATAAGTTGCGAAAATGGATGGGTAGGGCATTGAAAAGGTAAGTGTCCACTTTTTGCGTCTTTTGCAACCTCAATTGTGGTTTTATCAGATTGTTCTTTGACCTGGTGTCATGGGCGTGAACATCAGAATGAGCTGAATACTCATTAATATGTTTCCTGACATATAGTAATTTTTCATATACAATGACGGCATATAAAGTCATGATCTTCAGAGCTGGGAATATTACTTTACAGCTCGAGTCCCAATTTGCTTTGACAATTTTTCGTACAGCAGATTTTTGTAAGATAAATACTCTCATTAAATGTGATTGAGCTGAGTTTCCCCAGGCTAATATACCATAGCGAAGAAGAGAATGAAACAGAGAAAAGTAGGTGGTAAGAGCAGCATCTTGATTGACTACTTCTCGAATTTTTTTTATTGCAAATACACATTTAGCAAGTTTGTTACAGAGAGTACAAATGTGTTCAGACCAGTTTAAGTGACTATCGATTAGAATACCAAGAAATTTGGTGGAAGTATAATTACAGCTGTTGTTTAAGGCTCTCGAATCAAAATTAAGAGTTACACCAATGGTGAGGATCGATTTGAAACACCCTGTATAGTAATGAGCTGAAAGAAGGCAAAAAATAAAAATAAAAAGAAAGAACATTATCAATGCATAGAGTACAAAAATCTCTATCCATCAGTATATAACTCGACACAGTAGAATAAATATTTATTGAGATGTGGAGAGACAAAAATACATGACATTTAAACGGATAAAACTTTCGAAACTTTTGTTCACAGTTTTCAGTTGCATTAATCTTTGTTGTATAATTAGATAAACTTGAATTTTTAAGATTTACTTGTTTCCAAGAATTCTATCGTTATTTATTCACTATTTCATTGTAGTAACACAAGATATGCGAATCCTGATGTCGAGGATATTTCTTTATTGAGATGTGGAGAGACAAAAATACATGACATTTAAACGGATAAAACTTTCGAAACTTTTGTCTTTTGTTTTCAGTTGCATTAATCTTTGTTGTATAATTAGATAAACTTGAATTTTTAAGATTTACTTGTTTCCAAGAATTCTATCGTTATTTATTCACTATTTCATTGTAGTAACACAAGATATGCGAATCCTGATGTCGAGGATATTTCTGCTGTACCTCAGGCTGGAGTCGAACAAGAATTCTTACCATTCATCGCCGAAAACTTACTTTCTTACGTGGTTATTTTACAACAACTGTTACCAAGATTCGGAAGGGTTGATTTAGTCAGTCCAAAGATGGCTCTCATGTTATATAGGATAGCTAAAGTGAGTTTGCACTTTCACAGTTATATAAAAGAATGTATTGATGTCAAAAATTTATTCTGGTTCATTGAAAACAGTTTATGGAGGAATTTGTAAGCCGAATATGGTGGTCTCATTACTTTATTTATTAAGATATGAGTATAGTTTGAACTATATTTATTGTTAAAATTATTCTGTAATAGACTGTAGACTTTATTTCTACTTTTGAAATTGATTTTTCAGGTTTTCGATCAGCCTAATCTACCCAACTTTTTGAGGGAGGTTGAACAGTGTGTTGAGAACAATAATTCACCATCTCACAAATATGATAACAACCACTGGGGAAATAGTTTACCTCCCCTTTCTCCGACTTCTAATTGGTCATCTAATACTCGCATGAAAAATAGATCTAAATCAGGTAGCCTTCAAAATACTACCTTTTCACCAAATTCAAATAGTACATCATTTCTGAGTACAAGCCTGCATTCTGATAAAAAGTGGTCAGCCACAGTTCGCCAGAGGATTTTCGAGTTGGAAGGACCAAATTTCTATTATAAACCACTGTTTTCTGATCCTCCTGCACCTGAGGTGAGCTCATGATTATAGATAATTATAGAATAGAATAGAAGTTTATTCATCACTAAAGTTCACATGTACAACATAAAAAAAGTGTAAATACATGAAACTTATTGGACTAGTTACAAAGAGAGCTTAAAAGTAATTAAAATTGATAAGTAAAATATTAAAATATACAATGAACATCAACAATTTGAAAATTCTTGAAGAGAGTAGAACACCTTGTTTTTAGCGGCTGTTTACTTTGTTGGTGACAGGCATAAAAGTTGGAAGTGTTTCGCATGTTCTGGGGATTTTCTGCTATCAAAAAAAATTGATCAAAGAATTTGCATCTAATTTTATGTAAAATATGTAATTAAAGTACTCAAAAAGACTTGAAATGTTGACGAACTATCAGTATATAGTTATGACAACGAAACTAAAGTCCAATCGACCCGTAGGAAGAGCACGAGCTGCTGTCGAAATGTTAGGATGCAGTTCCAAACTACGACGGTCTTCAAACCCGAATGAATATAGTAACACTGAACACCATAATCATACTTCAGCCACCGTATTTACCAGATTTGGCTCCCTGCTACTGGGTCCTGATCCTAAGATTGAAGAGACCCACGAAAGGACGGCGTTTTGCGACGATTGAGGAGATAAAACTGAATCGCCGAGAGAGCTTAAGAACATACCAAAATGTGCATATCAGAACTATTTCGAAGATTAGGAAAAAAACGGGTATAAGTGTATTGTATCTGAGGGGGATTACTCGAAAGGGTACAACATAGAAATTTATGTATAAATAAATATTTTTTGAGAAAAATTAATATTCACCTCAGCTTTTGAGCAGACCTCATTAACATTAANATGTAAAAAAATAACGCCTATGTGTTACTGTATCTATCAACTCAGTAAAATTATAGATAAGTCGGTGGTACTCATGTACTATCATGCCCAATTACACTCAACAATCTCATATAGTATAGTAGCTTGGGGCCTATCACGTGAGGCACAAAGGGTATTTATTTTACAGAAGAGAGCTGTCAGAAACATTCAGAGTGTAAATAGACGTACTAGCTGCAGAGATCTATTCAAAGTTTTAAGAATATTAACTCTCCCATGCATTTATATGTACCAGCTGTTAATTTTTGTAAAATCGGATCAGCGACCTTTTACCTTCTTAAACAAAAATAATTACGGCACAAGAAATTCAACATTGTTAGAAATACCAAATCATAGACTGGCTAGATCAGAATCAAGTCCAATTTTCATGGGTGTCAGGCTATTTAACAAATTGCCAAATCATGTTAGAAAAATGTCACTAAGAAAATTTAAACCGTTCCTAAAAAACTTTCTGATTGATAAAGCCTACTACTCCATTGAAGAGTTTATAAATGACTTATCAATATAACTGAAGAATTGAGATTGTCATCTAGGGTTGTTAATATATTATAATTTTACCTAGTTATAAGTTTTAATATATAATTTTACATAACTGTTCATATCCTATATGTACATAATTTTTTCTTTTTTATAAGTTTATTTATATCATATTACACTGACTTGTTCTATATCATTGAGTTATGATCCAGAAGAACCAATAAACTATTATTATTATTATTATATGTTAACTAATAATGAAATGATTTCAGATCTTCGATTTGATTATGCATATTAAGAAGTCTATACGACGCGCTGAAGAACTAGTTCGCCTGAAAGAACAAGAAGAACAAGAAATGTATTCAGGGTTTTGGGGCAACTTGAAATATTTCTTTCAGAGCCCTGCATCAAATGATGAATTCAGTTTGAAAGATCGTCAAAAAGTGCCAATGTATTTACAAGTGTCCTTACATAATCTAATGGATATGTTCAATATTATGACGGAGGTTAGTAAAGTGCTTTACGATAATCAAATTTGTTAGCAATCAAATTTGTTAGTAACTTGGTGATATCGCCATAAAAAGAACAAATACAAAAAATTTAAAATAAAATACCTACTGTATTGAAATGATTCACTAAAATACTTTAGTAAAAATTGGTCCTGAGGCCTAAAAGGCCAATTGTACATATTGCCTCTTTGCATGTATATAGCAAAAAATTGTGACGGTCACTTCACCAGCAGTTATCTGGATAAACTTTGTAGGGAAAAGAGAAAATTGCATCATTTGTATCTTTATCGACCTGAAATCTAAATTGATTGTTGCTTATAATACTGTACAACTTTAAGAATTGGCTAATTTCTCAGTAATTTTTGCTGTAGGTGGTATCATCATCCATATATTTACTTTATTGTCATGAAGTAAAGTTACATCTTATAGACAAAGTAGATATTGAAAGGGTTATATTTTTAGGAGTGATCATTTTTTGGGAGGGCTTTTTCTTCTAGTTGAGGCCTTAGGTTAATATCCTTTTCCCAGTGCAAGATTGTACATACTTCGACCTGGAAGACTGATGTCTATTGCTTGGGTGGATAGCTGAAATGCAAGTTTCTTTTCACACAGTAAATTTCAGCTCCAATTTCACAATTGGTTTTGGACAAATGTTCATGCCGAACATATCAGTGGCATCTATATAATATTAACGAATAAACACTTTGAGGCTTGCTGTAGTAGTTGTAATGGAGCATCCAACTACATTCTTAAATAATGTAGACCAGTGTAATGCAGCATCTAGCTACCAACAACTACTTGATTATCTGAATTAAAATAATTTGTTAATGACTTATCAATCAGGCTTTAGACAGAATCATTCATGCGAAGCATCACTACAGTTAACCATAACAAAATGGAAAAAATCAATTGATAGTGGTGACTATGTAGTTGCAGTTTTCTTGGACTTGAAGAGAGCTTTTGAAACAATTGATNTATTTTCTGTGATCTATCGAAAGCTTTCGACTGTGTCAACCATGAGATCCTTCTTAATAAGTTGCAACAGTATGGCTTCAGAGGCAACACTCTCCACTGGTTTCATTCGTACTTATCAGGTCGCAAACAGGTAGTTAAAACAACCGAGTGTTCCTCTGCTCAAACTATCAAATGTGGTGTACCACAAGGATCGATCCTTGGCCCAATTTTGTTTCTTATCTACATAAATGACTGAGCTTTTATAGATATAACGGCCACAATTACTCTCTTTGCTGATGACACCACTTTATTATGGCACAACAAGGACATTCCTACCCTTCAAGATGCCATCTCAGCTGACATCAACAAAATCAAAGAATGGTGCGACTGCAATAAGTTATCATTTAATATCAATAAAACTAGCATACTTACTTTCCACTGCAACTTACCTGAGATCTGCCTTGGTGACAAAATCTTAGACAGGGTACATAATTATAGATTTCTAGGGTTGAACATTGATGATAAACTGAAATTTAAAAATCACACAATAAACTTAAGGAAGAAGCTTGCCTCAGGTTGCTATGCACTAAGAGTGATTTCTAGAGAACTAGGCTACTCCCATTCAAAAACAGCTTATTTCGCTCTAACAGATCCCCATATTAAATATGGGGATCAATTTGCTTGATAAAAAAAAAGTATTCTTGTGCATCTCTTCCTTCCTCATATAATACTCGTAGCCACAATAGTAACATAGATCTGCCTATTCCTGCGAGCTCTCTTGTTAGGGATTCAATTATATTCAACGGGATCAAACTGTTTAACCATTTACCAGCCCGAATGAAAGAAATTATAGTGCTTAACAAATTCAAAAAAGCAGTTAAAATGCTACTTGTCGATAGGGCCTATTATTCAGTTCAAGAGTATCTTGACGATTCACTTGAATCTTAACTTTTATTTCTATGTCCTTATCTATCTATTTTCAGCTGAATACCTCAGTGTATTTCACATTTTTAGCTTATGTTTATTGTATTTTGTTTAAATTGTGTATTTTTTTTATGTAGATTTTTGTATCTTACATATTATTTATGACTTTGTCTACAAGATGTAGTTCTTCAGACAATAAAGTATATTTGATTGATTGATTGATTGATACTCTCTTTGATTTGCCTTAGAATTTTTCTTGTATTTTCAGGTTTCAGAAGAACCAACATCACCATCAGCTTGCACAACTAACACCTTCGACATGTCAGATAATTACAAATTTTTGACTCCCAAAATGGTGAGAACAAGAATAAAGAATTTAAAATATGATGGAAATCCAGATCTTCATCCGATTAGGAGTACAGAAAATGCATTTTTAGTTAGGACTTTGTACCAAATAGCTTCAAAAGTTAATGAAATTGTAAGTCACCATTCTGATATCTGGTATCAAAAATTTAGAGTTGATATGAATCGTTTTCATTTTTATCTCAAGTGATTAATACTCTCTGTTCAAAAAATAGGCTTGTAAACATTTTTCTGATTCAGAGTACAATCATCGTATGCCACTGTCGATTTATCAAGTGCATTTGAGCACTTAATTCTAATTTCACAGAAAATTTGATGCAAATTCATTGATCTTTTTTTTCTGATATCAGNAATAAACCTCACGTATGACAACAACAATGCTTCATTGGTTGGTAAAGTGGACTCATGTAACTGAATTGAGAATTTAGAAGTCTTCAGATGATTGCACAATGACTCTTCAGTGTTTTCAGCCATCTCATCAATTCGTCTTTGCACGGAACTATTGCTTAAAGGAATTTTTCGGATAATATCTGCCGCTGGTTTATGGAGCACAGTAGTTATTACTTCTTTTATTGCCGGTAAAATTAAATTCTCTCCAATAGTGTGAGCTTCACCTGTTTGAGCAGTTAGCAAGGAGATATTGTAGGAAGCTCGGAGTCCGTCGTCGTCTTGCTCAAAAGCCGCTGAAAAAAGTTTTGACACAGTTGGCTGAGCTGAGTGTTTCTTTTCCAATTCTTGAAAATAAAGCACACTTCTGTCTTTTTTATCTGAATGCATTTTATTCAAATGATTTTGTAGCCTTGGGGGTTTCATCACTTCATTCGAAAATGTTTTTTGACAAAGAAGGTACATGGGCGAAGATGGATTTGTGGGATTTTCAATAAATCCATATATATTCCTCGCTATACTGCCGTTTCTTCTTTTTTTGCTTCCGACATAATTTTGTCTTCAAAAATGCCGAAGTAAAGAATCGAGTATTAAAAACTTGCTAATGACACCACTCACAGTATTCACCACCGCACGTACACCACTTTACCTAGCTAGTCGCTAACTAAATTCACTTGTTTTCGTAATATCGTCGAATGACATTACTGGCTGGATGGCGCGCGCGCTTTTATATGAGGCAGCGGGCGGGCCTAGTACTTTCGAGAATGGAGACTAGAAACTTCTCGCTTACCGCTCACAGTCATCTATTGTACAGTTTGACAACTATCGGACAGGAAATAGTTACTGTCTAGTCCTCTAGATGGCGTTACACGAGTAAACGCGAGTTTAGGAGGGGTAAAGTTTGTGTTGAAAGCAAACAAACATTTTTAAATTATCCATCGCCCCCTAAACCGCTTCAACGCCCCCAAATCTTCTCTGAGCCCTTTAGCCCCCCTATAGGCCTCCAGCGCCTACAAGGGGGCGTTCGCCCACTTTGAGAAAGCCTGACAAATACTGTATATATGAAATGATATTTCATTTTTTAGTGATCCGAAAGTTTGCAAAGGTTCATAACTACAAGAGTTATTGTGGTGAAAGCATTAAAACAAAATCATAATTTTTTTTCAGTATGGTCCACAGTTTTATCAACTTTACCACAGTCCCACTTTCCTGGGACGACTATCTAAGGAAATTCTCTGTTCACCTATAACAGTATACCACTATGATAAGTCTATCTCTGGATCTCCAAGAGTCAGCAGCAATCTGCCACCAAGAGTTAGTTTCAGATTCATGGCGAGTTATACATTTTTAGGTTATTTCTTTTTTGGAGCGTTCATTTCATATTTATTTGGATATAGAATAGAAATATACGTCGCCTTTATATTATTTCTTTTTTTGTTTTACAAATCCTTGAAGGCTATAAGAATAAGGGACTCTTCAGTGCGACATAATTACCCCACACAGGGTTTTGGTAATATAACTTTCAATGACTCATTCTGAATGAAACTATTTCATGTTTTTTTTTTCAATACTTTATTGCATCGATTATGTTGTAAACTCCAGTTTTTTAATCAGAATAAATATTTTTGTCAATCTTGTGTTTCTTCTTTGATGTTACCTAGTATGTTTTTACTGATAGGGCTGTGAGAATGTGGTGACTTTCCGTCAAGACTGTCTCCCTGCAAATTATTGGATTTGTGTTAATTCACTTTATCAAAGAGTGTAAATTTCACGGCCGGATATAACTGTGTCAAAGCTTCCTGGTTTTTTGGCCATGCAGGTTTTTATGTTTGACGTTTAATCCGTGACTACAAATGAAGTCATTCCATCCAACCAATAGGAATGAAGCCGTGACTACCACCAATTGATCAAAACCAGAAACATTCCAATAATGTGGTACATATCTGTGAGGACATCTAGAGCACTTCGTCCGTTGCTTCATTACCTTTGATAATGTCTACTGCAGTCGGTAACAAAACGGTAGGTACAAAAGCTTACAGACCACGGTCAACAAACTCGGAAAATAATTTTGGCATAATTCATTTCATATTTGGGATTACTTGTTGGAAAGTGCGACTCTAGGTATTTGTGACTCACAGTAGTTGCGTCAAGACCTGTGATAGTTGATTGTTAAGATTTATCAGAAGGAGGAACTTGAAAATAAGTGACAGCTATTCTTTAAGTATCCATTCCTTTCCTTGAACTAACATGTTTTTAAGCCTCTTTCAAGAATTTTAAATTGCTTCAAAAAGCACTGTAACTACTCAACGGCCTCCATACTATCCGGCTGAATACCGGATAAGTATCGCCTATCCGGCCGAATACCGGGTAAGTATCGCCTATCCGGCCGAATACCGGATAAAAAAAAATTTATGTAATTGATTTCTTTGTTTAGTTAGTATCATTCAAGAAATACAATCAGTAATGACATAATAATTCTACAACGTTGTATGTAGTGCATCTCGCGGTGCATCACATAACGTTTCGTCGGCCGGAAGATTGGCCGGATATCCGGTATCTGGCTAAACTGCTACCCGCTTCATCTCTAATCATAACCTCAACACTATCGTACCTCTTCCCCTGCCTATTGGTGACCGCCACCCTTACAATTTGAATAGTGAATGTACTAAAAGTAACACGATATTAAAAACGGTTATCAAAAGTGTACAAATCTTCGTCAGTGTGGCCAATATACTCAATGTTGACTACATTGTTACAAACTAAATGCATTTCTTAAGAGAAAACCCGAAGAATATTTCGACATGCAGCGGTTTTTACGTACACGAGAGCTATCAGTGTGGTAAATGCTTCAGTATACTTGTAACATTGTGGCTGGACGGACTACATTCAGTTTTGTTGTGTAAAAGTGAGAATTTTATTTTTTTTGGAATACAGATACAAATAGAAATGGCTGAGTACGGTGTCAACTTTGCAAGGTATGTACATTTCAAGCATAAGAAATCAGAATATATTATACCAATTGCTGGTAATTAGAAGAAAATTGATAATTATATCATAAATTCTTTAGATATATTCATTATTCAGAAAACTGTTTTTTGTTTGAGGTGGCATTTTGGGAATGTACTAAATATAGTACATTAGAAAAATATATGTCTATCAATGTTATTTCATTTCAGATGTTTTTCACTCAACAAAGCTCTAGCTATGTTGGAAGATGATGCTGAATTAGCTGAAACAGTAGATGAAATTTTCATTTTCCCCCCAGAAAATGCCACGGCAGAAGTAACAGACGAAGATTCTGGGACGGAAGATATTTTTACAATTGATAATCTACCTGCATCTCAGCTACAAGCACCAGCTGAGATTAGATTCCAAACGAGATATGATAGTATTGACTATTCATCAGAGGACAATGTTCCCTTGTCCGAATTACAAGAACGATTGAGATTATCGGATAGAAGAAAAAAAAGTTTTTGAAAAAAAAGATAAAGAAATAATCGAACTTTTCGTGAGTAGCAATAATAATCATGCCTAACAAAAAATCGAGCACCTAATATAAAACATTCTGAATTCAAAGCTTTCATTGGAGTTTGCTTGCTCAGTCAATCGGCCGATGTGTGAATCGAGGGTTCAAGCTCCAGACTGAACGCTCGATTTTCACTTGATATCGTCCAACCCGCGTTAGGAATCACACGTTAAAAGGTAAGACCTCGTTAGTCCTTAGCTCGCACAAGTATCGCTTTCTGAGGGTTGTCGTTCGTAGTGGTGTAATAGCTGGTTAAAACAGAACATTTGGAACATTTGCTCAAATGATTTTTCGATGAATAAGATAACTAATAACCAGGTTGAAATGAAATGGTATCGTTTTATGCCCAAGTTCAAACATCAATAATTCCACAGCTGGTTATTGAAAATATATAAAGTGAAAGTTAATTTTTTCAGAATTGAAATTAAAAAAAGCGAAAGTTACTGTATACAGAATTGAAATTCTTTCCACAAGATCCTCCTTTCTATTTAAAAAAAAATACTGAAAATAATTACATTTTACAAAATTTGTGTGCCCGTCTGATATCTTGTCCTATTTGAAATTTAAAAAGGGGGCTATTTTCCTCCGAACTGTACATTTGTTCATAGTTAATTCCTGCTTGCTTGAAAGACGAGACTTCAATGTACCCGTCTTGTTTGTAGGAATATCTATGAAAGCTTTCAGGAGATTATTGCAAGGGTATTGCTATATGACAAAAAAAAAACAACACTGAGATCAAATATCTTTAACATTATTTCCTTAGGTGAGGCACACAGTACACAGTTGAAAAAAACCTTTGATTTATCGGAAACCATTCTTGTTTGTCAGCAAGGCAATTACATCAAGTTATAATTGCATGCAATATAATTAAGAAATATCGTTTTGACACGTAATATTAACACACAATTTTTGACAATAATTTAAATCTCATAAAACTCAAATATAACTTATTTGAATTATTGTAGATTTTTCGTGGGCACAACAAATTTGTTTATATTGTTCAAATATTGACATAAATAAATGTCTGACAGAAACGACATAGAACTACAGAACACATTAAATGTGCGCAGAAGAATGCGCAAAAGGTCAAAAAATTACCATTTACTATTAGAATTTGAGCTATTCTTGTCTTGATATAATGTTAAATTAACATATCATGAAATGAACTGTGCGAAAGCAACATTTTAACTTTTTGATGATAATGTTCAGGCTGCATGTTTCCACCCTAAAATGATGTTATACTCACACATACTAATTTAGAACAGTCTTGATCATCAGCATCAGAACTATCATCTTCATCTGAACTCTCCGCCCTTTGCAAAAACATTTTGATTTTTCTCATACTTTTCAGTGATGACAAACTAGAAGATCTTGTGGGCTTGGAGGAAAAGCTTGTAAATATGTCTTCAGGAACAGGGGGAAGGTTGACTACAGCATTGAGATCGATAAGTGATTCTCTGGATAAATTTTCAGGATATTTCTCGTTCACGTCAGCTTTAACGTTCTTACTGCTGGCGGTATTGGGAGTTAGACAGTTTTCAGAGAATTTTTGCCTACTTTCAAGGGAGCGAATTTTTTCACTCAACTGCGGCAAGTCGAAATTTTCGCAATTTGTATCCAAATTTTTGAATTCCAGATCTGCCAACTGCTTTTCGATTATTGTTAATACTCTATCACACTCTTCTTTCAATAATTCATTCTCACTCAATGATGAAATCACTTTCTGAGCTTGGTCAAGGGAAGCTTTTGCAATGGAATGAAGAGTTGCTATTGCTTTTTCCGCTCCACTGATGATTGTTTTCAAATGAGAAACGTACCTGTCGCCAGAAACATATCTGTCTTTTAAATCCATTCCAACTTCAGTCATTAGCAGAGCATTTTGTAACATTTGCTCCTTATAAGAATCTTTTTTAGTTGAGTTAGTTGCCATTTTTAGACTTTTTGGGAATTGTTGTAAAATAACAATCAATACGTTTGACAAACTGCCAATTCGATATGTCAACTTAAAATTAATAGAGGGTGATCTAGCTAGGCTCAAGACCCATAATTTTAAAGAACACTTCACTAATGAATGTGTTATGAACAAATGTGGAAACAACTGATATTCAATTCTTCCACAGATCAAAGAAATGAGTAGGGGAATACTGAAATGGATCATATACAAAATATTTGAATAAAAAACAACTCATACTATAGCTGGGTAACGGTGATGGTATTGTTTATTTCAATAATTTTGAAGGATGTTGCTTTGGAGACGATCGAAGCAATCAAGCTTGAGTTTGCTTAGTCATGATCATGTCTTCTTTGATGCAAATTGTTGATCCGTTAAAAAACACTGATCATTGTGAGAGTGTAGTCGGTCAATGGCCTAACTTCTTATTTGACTGTGGGACTCAAAAGGTGACGTTCAGCATTCTCTAAGGAATAATGTTGCGTGGATCTAATGAAATCACATTTCCCACACCTCAACTAAAGCACGTTTTGCTACCCAAGTTAGCATCATCATCTGGTAAGCAAAGTCCTAATCAGGAATGGGCTGCTCAGATATCACTTTTTGTGTCTTGTGTTTAGTCCATTTCATCAATTAGATGGTGCCATAGTTTTTTTCTTCACCCGAAGTAGAGTGTTCAACCAAAATTCAGTAAGTCGCTCTCAAATTTCGTAGTAAATATTAATAGATGTCTTTCATTAGCAGCACAATGTCCTATCTTTTGGATATACATACTCAGATGAGTTTTTATATTGATTATTTTATAATTTTTGTCCGTTTTGTTGTCATATGTTTTTGTAGCTTTATATCTCAATAAATATGTATTTCACTGTGTCGTGGTATATACTGATCGATAGAGAATGTTGTTCTCTATACATTGATGCTGTTTATTCTTCCAAATTTCCGCCTCTTTACAGTCTCTTTTCAGCTTATAACTATAGCGATTTTCGGACTGTTTTCGTCTTCAAATTCAAACTGAACCAGAGCGATGTCGAAAAATCAACCAGGCATTTGGCATTGAACAATGGCACGGTTTGACGTTGGTTTGCGAAATTTTGTTTCGGAGATTTTAGCCTCGAAATGAGGCCCGAAGTGGTCGACCTAAAGTAATCTATAACGAGGATTTCAGGATTCTGGTGGATACTGATCCATTACAAACGGTGATAGCTCTTGATAGCAAAAGCAACACATTGGCTATTTTTTCGATATGAGTAAGGCATTTGATCTTGTTGACCATGAACTGTTATTACATAAATTGAAACTTTATGATGTGAGAGGGCCATCATTGGATTGCAACCTACCTTAAAGGCCGTAGCCAAAGAGTATATCAGAACGATACCTTCTCGGATATTCAATACATCTCGACAGGCGTACCTCAGGGAATAGTACTCGGGCCTCTGCTGTTTATTTGTACTGCTGTTCTGCTGATTCTTTATCGATTGTGTATGTAGATGATAGTAATCTTGTTATATCAGCTGATGGCATTGAACAATGGCACGGTTTGACGTTGGTTTGCGAAATTTTGTTTCGGAGATTTTAGCCTCGAAATGAGGCCCGAAGTGGTCGACCTAAAGTGATCTATAACGAGGATTTCAGGATTCTGGTGGATACTGATCCATTACAAACGGTGATAGCTCTTGATACCAAAAGCAACACATTGGCTATTTTTTCGATATGAGTAAGGCATTTGATCTTGTTGACCATGAACTGTTATTACATAAATTGAAACTTTATGGTGTGAGAGGGCCAGCATTGAATTGGATTGCAACTTACCTTAAAGGCCGTAGCCAAAGAGTATATCAGAACGATACTTTCTCGGATATTCAATACATCTCGATAGGCGTACCTCAGGGAAGAGTACTCGGGCCTCTGCTGTTTATTTGTACTGCTGTTCTGCTGATTCTTTATCGATTGTGTATGTAGATGATAGTAATCTTGTTATATCAGCTGATAGTATTCCCACTCTGCTTAGTAGTGCACAGAAGGCTAAAAATCAACTCTCCGAGTGGTGTGATTTGAATGGACTAGTTCTCAAATGACTTATTTTGTTACAAAAAATTCTTCAATAGATAGCAGCTACTTAGCACCCAGAGCACCCAGAGCAATCATATTGAGTATATAAAAAGTAAGCTTAGTAACATCATATTTCTACTCCGTTAACTGAAAAACAGACTCTCTCTTGAAGTTTCGAAACTGGTATATTTTAGTCTTATTCAGTCAGTCATCTGCTAGGAAAATTCATTGGGGTGCTGTATCCAAGGCATAAGAAATGTTCGCCATTCAAAAAAAAACAGGTTAATGATGGCGGTACACTGCAAACCACTCTTTGTTAAAATTGGTATAATGACTCTACCATGTTTGTTTATATACCACTGCATTGTCAATGCGAGGAAAATATTACTAATATTCCTACTTGGAACCCTCTCATGAATATCGTACAAGTAATAAATATAAGCTATAAGGATGTAGGGTTGCTACAACAACCATTCAGTAGATTATCAGTGTCAGAGAATCATCCGGGATCGATGATTGTTAGGCTCTATAACGCTCTTGTAATTGAACACTTCCTTAAGTAACAAATTGATTGATTGATTTGATTGAACTGGGTGTCAGCTCCCATGCGATTTTTGATGGTTTCAAACGTATTGGTAAGGTCAAAAAGCTCGAAAAGTGGGTCCCCAGGATTTGAACAATCGACGGAAATTATCACATTTCAAAGTCTGTTCTTTGGTTTTGTGCAACCAAAACGATAGGATTTTTTTAGGTCCTTTGTCACGTGTGATGAAAACAGGAGACGTTGAGGATGGCGGTTGGACAACGTTGAGCCCTCCAGGTACTTCCCAAAGGCTGAAACCCAACAAAAAAAGACCATGATTACTGTATGGTGGTCAGCGGCTGGTGTGATTCACTATAACTTTCTGCAACCAGGCCAAACCATCACAACAGAGTCCTATTCTGAGGAAATTGACGAAATGTACTGAAAATTGTGTCAGCAGCATCCGGCACTGGTCAACAGAAGAGCTCCGATCCGGCGACAACGCCCGTCCGCAAGTTTCACAAATCACCGTCCAAAAATTTAAAGAAATGAGCGTCGAAGTTCTGCATCAACCACCATACTCTCCATACTTCTCGTCAATCGACTACGATCTTTTCAAGCACTTCGATAATTTGCTCAACGGTAGAACCTTCGCCAATCAGGACCGCAGGCAAAAACAGCCTTCGTTGACTCCATCGAATACTGAGCACACAATTTTTATGCTGACGGAATATTTCGACTGGTGTTACGTTGGCAAAAGTGCATTGATTCAAATGTCGCTTATCTCGATTGAACTGAATAGGTATTCACTGAATAGTGAATTAATAGTTTATTAACTACGTTACATTTTCATGTTTGTAGCAAATCAAATGTATAGGCTTTTCTAAATAAACATGTAAAACAAAGAAGTAAATTGTAAAAATATTAAGCAACGCAGGGGTTGTCTACCTACATACAGTGCGAGTCTCTAACACGGAACACGGAACAAATTCTCTAAACCAAAGGTGTTGTTTCTTTCGGAAATATGCTCGGACACGTCGATTAGTATTTTAAAGTGCCCTTATTTTCATACGAAAAAATTATACAGTGTGTCTCAAATATGAGATATGACTTCATCGATAATTTTTTTTAAATGACAACCCTGTTTTTTTAATGATTTTTATTGAAGGGTTCAACAAGTTGCACATGCTTGCCAAATTTCAATTTTTACTCCTTGTCCTTTAAAAGATATTTAACAAATATTATCTAATTCAAAAAATTAATTCAATTGAATAGTCCTCCTTCAATAAATGCTTAGAATGTCAGGGATACCCGACAGTGACATTGTCCTAAAAAAGTTATCAAAAAAAAGTAAGGAGAGTAGTATCGCATCCCAATCATATTTGTGCACAAAAACTGTTAGTCGTTTCACAGTTTGTTGTTCGCCATTAGTAAAATGCTGTACTTAATTGAAACACATAAGATTGAAATTCTAATGATGACTGGCTACGGAGATAGGACAAGAACACAAAATGAAGTTACTCATTTATTCAGAGAGAAGTATATCCTGATATACCACCCGTATCGCGAAGTACCGTAAGCAAGATCGAAAAACAGTTCAGGGAAAATGGGCATTTAAGAAAAACAAATTATCATCGTCGAAGTGCGCTCAGTGAAGAGGTCAAAATAAATGTTCTTCTCCCTGTCGAAGAAAATCTCCATGTCCCCACTAGGCAGATAGCTAGGGAACTCGAAATTAGTCAGTTTTCAGTGGCAAGAGTTCTTAAAGGTGCAACATTTCATCCATATAAAATAACAATCCTCCAGGAACTCACCGAAGATGATCCAGATAGAAGACTCCAGTTTTGCGATCAAATGATGGATCTACTAGACAGGAATGTTGTACAAAAAGAAAACGTTCTATTTTCTGACGAATCAACGTTTATGTTGAATGGTGTGGTAAATCGTCAAAATTGTCGTTATTGGGCAGACAGAAACCCACACTGGATGAGCGAAGGCCACACTCAACATCCAGAAAAAGTCAATGTTTGGGCAGGGATTGTTGGTGATCGAGTTATAGGACCGATTTTCTTCCAAGAAAATCTTACTGGAGCAAGATATTTAGAATTCTTGCAGGAGGACCTAGTTCCGAATTTGGCTATTTCCCTTGTCCTATAGAAGCTGACGTCCCGAATAGAAACATCTGGTTTCAACAGGACGGCACGCCTCCTCATTTTACAAGACCTGTCCGTTAGTACCTGAATGATGTATTTCCAGGCAGATGGATTGGCAGAAGAGAATCCTATGAATGGCCACCTAGGTCTCCGGATTTAACACCTTTGGACTTTTTCTTATGGGGTTACTTGAAGAGCAAAGTTTTTAAGACCAAACCGGCAAATATTTAAGATAGTTCCCCCAAAGAAAAACACCGTAGCTGGTGTGTGAGTGGAATAATGCCAAGTACGTCCTTTTTTAAATCTCACTGCTTGTGATGTTTTGCAGTAGACGAAGGATCTGCATATTGATGCCAAGATAAAGTACTGTCGAGAGTAATGCCAAGTAATTTTACACTTTTGTTCGCTGAACCTACATGAATACTGCCATTGCCATCATTGACGAGTCCGTAGGCCTTTCAACTGGCATCTTTCCTCTATCTATCGCCACCACTGCTCCTAACTCGCCCTAACTACTCCTCCTAACTCGCCCCCCCTCCATATCACCGGCGCATGGCGACGGCCATATGGAGGGATGAATTAACGGGGTAGAAGACCCATTCTTTTTATTTCCTATTAATAAATACAAAGATATAAATAATTTCATCTATACAATAATTAACTTAACTAAAGTTTTCCTAAACTAAATTGACATTGGCAGCCCTATGTCCCGAAACGACCTGGGAGCCTGGGGAATCCATACCCCCTCCCATCTTCTTATTGCTCCTTTCTATCTTACCTGCCGCATACAGCTTATCATTCCCTTTCATCCTTCACCACACTGTCCGCCCATTCATTTACAAATCGTATCCATTCACCCTTTCCGTTCTGACCTTCCACTCTCTCCATCCAACCCTGTCCCCATTCATGCATCTATCGTTCCAGGTTCTCCATAGCCGCAGGGGCAGGGAACCTCCGGCCTCAGATTAAATCTGGCCAGGTATCCCCGAAAGTTCTCATGCCCCGTGAGAAGTTGGATAGCCTTCCGCGACAGATCTACTCCCTTTGCCATACTCTCTTAATGGTCTGTTTTGTTCTCTTTTTCTCTTCGACCTTATCGTATGTCTTTACCTTCCACGTTACTTGAGTCTTATCCATGCCCTTCGTGGCTTCCTCATGTGCCTTCAAGTTTCCTTTGTTATGCATGTCGTGTATTCCTCTCCTCAATTATCCGTTGAATCTTCTACCGCTACCGCGGAATCACTAACTACTTTCACGCTTTCATCCATACTCCACATACTGATCACCCGTTCTATTGCTATCAACTCCGCTTCATTTACACTGCCTTGTTTGGTAATCCTTTCATTCCCTGTACTCCATTCCTCTTCTCCTCTTTTAAATGCCCAGCCTATCCATATCCGTTCTTCTTCCATCCTCGCTCCAGCATCCACGTGTACTTCAGTCTTACGCATTCCCTCTTCAATCCCACGTTCCTCCCGATCCACCTCCTCATTTTTCCTGCAAGCTCATTGAGCTTCTTTATCACCTTCTTGTGATGTTCAATGAACAATAGCCCAGTGTCCACCACAATTCCGATGTACCTAATGTTCATCTTTATCTCAATCGCTCTTCCATTCATGTTCAGAACCGGGAGTCTCTCATCCTTACTTGTTGGTACGTACATACATTCCGTCTTACTTTCGTTGTAGCTAAGCCACATGTCTTCCTCCCATGCTTTACATTCACTCCTTACCAACTTCCACTTATCTTCTATGCCTTCGACGGTGTTACCCTCGATGATGACAAGCTGGTCATCCGCGTAGGCTTGCACTTGTACTCCGATCGCGCCAATGTCTTATCTCATCTTCATACTGTTTATTCGTTTAAACCATGCCTCCATCACTATCAGCCATAGGGTCGGTCCCAGACCTTGTGGGCAACCCCACAAGGTCATCACTATCAGCCATTGGGTCGGTTGTAGCTGAACCTACAGTGGTGAACTCAAGATTTTGAGTTTTGTTACTATTCAACTTCAATTTATTTGCTAGAAACCAAGTGTTAGCTTGATTTTCAACTTCTTCCATTACTTGGAATGTTAGATGATGAATGATCGCTATATATTAAAGTTGTATCATCTGCATAGAGAATGGATTTGAAATTACGTCATTAACATAAATAACAAAGACCAGGGCCCAAGTATTGAACTTTGTGGAACACCGTGCTCCTAATTTGATGTAACACGAAACCGCCTGATACCTATTTGAAAGGTATGATTCTATGAGTGACAGAGATACCCCTCTAACTCCATAACAATACAATTTTGTAAGAAGTATACTGTGTGATATACAATCAAAAGCCTTGGACAAGTTAAAAAGCGTTATGGTAGTGTGCACACCCTTCTCGACTCCTTCAACAACAAATCCAACAACATCAAAGACAGGTAGAGAAGTAGAAAGATTTTTGCGAAACTCATATCGACCCTGAGAAAAAAAGTTGTAACTCTCGAAGTAATCATACAGACGCTTTTTCATTATTATTTCAACGACTTTGGAAAAAATAGAGATGATAGATATGGGCCTGTAATTGTTCAGGGAACATGGGTGTCCTTTTTGAAAACTGGAATTACCTTTGCATATTTGAAAGCGTCAGGAAAACCCCTTTTTTCAACCTTGGGTTTGCCCGTTCTTGGGGGTTTTTTTTTTCTTCTTTTTTGTTGATTTTTAGTCCAAAGGAAGATAGTACAGTTTGAAATTCACTCAGGATATTGGAGTTAATTTTGCAGTTGATACTGAAATCACCCATTAGGTATTATTATATTAGTTGAAGCTTTGACATTGGTAGTTAGTAGAGATATTACAGTTTAATATAGACTTATAAAAACGGAGGAAACTTATGAAACATGGGAATGACAAACACAGTATATTTCAGTTCGAAAAAATTTAATAAATTTAGATCCCTCATGGATAAAACGCACATAATTTGATATTTGATCATCTAACTGAAAAGACGTAACGAAACGTAAAATAATTTCCAGGATCAATATGTATTTTTTAAAGTAATCAATTTCCCATTTCATTGCTGAGGTCGCCCTCTTCTGGACACGAATAATCATCTGGGTTATATAACTTTCTCTTTCTTTGTGGTTTTCTTTTACCTTTATTGGCGTCACTACAAAGCATAAGTGGAGGAAGATTTTTTGTTCGAGGAGCACTGGACGTAGTCTTATGTAATGCGGGTGCGTAACTGGATTTATTTCTTGGATTTACATCACACGGTTCGAATTCTTCATAACTAGATGCAACATATAATGGAAGGGGAGAATATTTTTCAATAGTTTCTAGTTGTTTTCGAAGTTGATTTTTGGGCTTCATAACTTGCACAGTTTTGTTGCAAAACTGAGTTGGTTGAATGTGAGAGAAACTCTCAGAGCAATTAGAATTTTTTGTTATGTCATTTTGCCATAACTTTGGTGTCACTGAGCTACGTAGTGGCAATTTTGAAATATCATTCGAGTCGTTTCGGTCGTGTTGATTCCATTCTTGTACAGTTTTTGCTCCTGAAGAATCTCCCGTCATTGTACTTTGTGGGCTATTTACAACCAACTGATTTTTCGATACGGGGCCTTGTGGCCATACTCGTACACTATGCCGCCCCTTTAAATATTTATCAGTATCATTTTCCTCATTTTCATCCTCCAGGCACTCATGATTGTTCGATTGTCTTCCTGAAGTATTCTTTAGAACTTGTATGGGAGTAGATTCAAAATGTAAAACATTGTTTTTCTGGCCGGTGTATCTCTGAAACCGAAAGGATAATTAGAGTCACAGATGCAGCTATAACGAACCTTTCTCACATGTTGTTGATTTCTCAGGTTATTCAGCTCCAGTTGAAGTGCCCTTATTGTGTTTTGAGCTTGCCGAAGCTTGCTGTTAGCATCGACAATTTGACGTTTTAAGTTTGATTCCAGTTCATCAAGTTGTATAGCATTGGCTGCCTGAACGGCTTGAAGTTCATTGTTCAATTCTTTTTCTAGGAAATGTGATGAAAAGTAGAAAATGTATGAGTAAGCAATGCGTATGAATATTGTGAGATAATGATTTCAAAATTGCCTTGTGTGTTTACCAAAAAATTGAAGATAATTGAGAATTAAAAGTATTAGGTTGTTTCAACGACATCATGTAGATGTCGTTAGGCGATTTTCGGCCAATTTATATTTCTCTACGAATTCAAAATGAACCAAAGCGCTGCCGAAACAGCCTTGAAATCAACCAGGCATTTGGCAATGATATAAAAAACTATAATCAAATCATACGACATACCAACCTTTGGATTCGTAACATATTTTGTCACTTTCTATTTGATTTTTTAAATTAGTCGTTTCTGATTTAGAACGTTCTAGATTTTCCTTAAGCTTCTCAAGAAATTCGTTTTTCTGTAATTCTAATTTGTTTTTCATTTGTATATCCAAATCTTCATATTGAGTTTTCAATTCCTTGTTTTCTACCTCAAGTTTACGACACTTTTCTGAAATGAGAAGATTCTGACAGTTTTATTAGTTTTACTATGCCCACTGATATAATGAATATTAGCATTTCCTAGGGAGAGTTCAGTTACATTCACAAATTCTTGAAATTGTGGCATATTCCAAGGATGAAACAATATTTTCATGCCATACTCCAAAAATTAAGAATGTATGAAGTAAAGTATGTCTCACTCTAACTGGTATTGGCTTATAAACTGCAATAAACTATCATTGTGTAGTGTAGTGTAGTGTAATATTGTAATTCTCTTCCCTTTACTTGATCCGGGTTTTACAACTAATTGGTTTTATTATAATCGTTTAGCCAATACCATATATACCGTGAAACCTACTATACCCCAGTTATTTTAAATTGAATATAAGTATGATATTTTCACGATAAACTGGAAAAAGAAAACACTACTCTCTGTCCAAAGTTTTTAGCTTCGTCTTTATATCATTATAGTAGAGATATATTGTATCAGAAAGAATTGATATTTGAATAAATTGATAGATGTAGCCGTTACTACGTGGTAGGAAATCATAATGAAGAAAAGAGAAATGAAACTTTCTATGTCAGTCAGTCATTCGAAAAGAAAACCTTACTGTCATCAAGAAAGACCCAACGAAAAATAGTCGAATTGAACTGAAAAATTACCTCTTAGATACTAAAATCATTTTCACGGAATCAGAGAAACGGAGAATCACCAACATGAACCCCTCTTGTCCTAAACTATATGGCCTGATAAAAACACATAAAGAGGATAACCCCATAAGACCGGTAGTTTCGTATATAAATAGTCCGGTAAGAGAACTAGGAATACGTCTTAACAAGTTGTTAAAACGCCCGAAAACAGTTTTTTTGGATTCGCAGACTTCCAGTTTTGTCTACTCGTTCAAAAAAAAGTATTTTTCGGAGTTGTTGCGTTCATATGTTCATATGACGTGAATATTTCCAACTACCAAATTGATGATCTGATCTGAGTTGTCATTACGAATATAGATCCATGTTAAATTTGAATATCGATTTTCTTTCAAATCCAAAAAATGGCAAAAATTCCCCACTCAACATTTTTATATATCCTGTTGAGTTTTCTATGATGCGTATTCAGAGAATCGTTATTAATTACCTTCGAGTAAGACGTACTTTTTGGTCAATTCGGAGCTTTTACTTTCTAATAAACATTTTATCTTATTCCTCAACTTGTTTTCATTTTCCCTGCAGATATTCAATTCCTCGGAAAGGTTTTCCAACAATAACAGCAAATCATTTTCATTCCTCCTGTTGATTTCATTTTTCTGCAGTATATCGATTCATTATAATATTTGCGATCCAAATAAAACCAACTCACCAAAAATACATTTCTGAATTTTTCAACACAATCTTCCAATTCATCATTCGTTAAATCCATCTCAGAATTTAAATGAGGTTATTGTAAACTAATTTATAACTCATTTCTCTAGATGACAGATTGAGAATTCTTTTGTTTCTCGTGTCCTCAGAGCCCCCTTTTTAAAATATGTACCTATTACCAACTATTTTTCATTTGAATTCAGTTGAAGGGATAAAATATTTATTATTTCATTCAAAGTTATTTTAAATAACATATAATCAATGAGCACAAAAAGGCATGGTTCAAATTATTCTTAAATTCACTGATGAATTCACTCATTGGTCTACTTGAAACATCTTTCTTACAAGAAAAAAATATTGGTGTACCACTGAACACTGAATATCCTCGAATAACCTAAAGATCAAATAATTTTAACAATCTCTGAATGTTTGAAAATTTTTCGTGATTCTTATTAATTAAAAACTCAGAAACACATTTTGAGTTCAATGTGTTTTTAAATTCTGGATGTAAAAAATAACAAATTATATCAAAGAATATTCGGCTACTAACCATACATTTGTGTATGAGTGGTTGCCTAGCTGCGAACTTCCTCGAATTTGGTGTGCCAGAAAATTGGGAATATTACACAAGTGCTCAGTGCGGATTTATTTTTGGAGAAGACAGATTTGAAGAAGACTCGATGATTTTTGAATATTTCAATAGATGTATAAAACCCTTATTAGTTTCTCTACTTCTTCACCCATATATGTTCATTTGATTTTCAGAGAATATTCGAAATCACGATTATGGCAAATGTAACCTGGTAGTCTGGTATAGCAAATGTAACGCTGTTTTTCGAATATCCTTGGGGCGAGAACCGAAATAAATATTTGAAGCCATAAGTATGTATTTTTCTAACCCTTTCTTCTATTTGTCAGTAAAGATTTGCCTATACTTTCGATGACCAATTTTTTTTGACGGTATTGATAATACCGTGTTGCTCATCTCTTCGACAACTGAAGCTGTCTTTGGTGAAACCTATTTACAAAAAGGGTGATGTGGAAGTGATGGAAAATTACAGACCTATAAGTATACCACCAAGTTTTGCGAAAATATTTGAATTGGCATATTGTACACAATTAATTGACTTCTTCAATGAATGCAACATGTTTAGTAAAAATCAACACGGATATATCCAAGGAAGGTCAACAATGTCGGCCATTTAATAATAATCAATTCCAAAATCACTTCTCTTACAGCACGCATATCACTGCATAGAATACTAGTCTATCAGACTTTCTTATATGATGCCATGACATTTCTATGATTTTCTCTGAAACAAACAAAATTATATGTTGCAGAAGCTCTAGAAGCCAACAAAAAATGCAGCATACAGATATGGTGTTGGTTGGGCTGGTAGTCATATGTGACTACCAGCCCCCATCAAGCTGAGATAATCAGCCCCAAAACACATTTCAAAACATAACCTCCTAAAATAAGTCTTATAATCAAGGTTCATTCATAAAAACGAATAGTGATATCATGAACCACAGATGTCACCTCAAAAATACATGAAATAATTAACCATTATACATTTCTCTCTTAGAATTAAACGTTGTAGCGTGCAAAATCACAGAACTTTTTTTGGCAAATAATGAAAAAATAAACTCGTCAAATTTCCCGTTTTGCCCCATAACTGGGGTAAGATGGGAAACGCTGTGGGGCAAAACGAGTACGCTTTTTAATCGGGTAGACAGCGTTCACAAATGTGTGCCTCTTCATCTTCCTCATCTACTCCGGCACATGAATTATGCGCCCAACCGTGGCACACGCCGCAGATGACCCAACCTTCGGTTGAATCTGAGTATGAGTACCCACAATAGATGCAAGCACAGTCATCATCCTCTTCTTGGGGTGAACTATCTTCCGATTCAGTTTCTTTTTTGCATCTTATTTTGGTTTGACGCTTTTTCTGCAGGTTTTCCTTGTCAGTTATCTTTTTAATCTTCTTATTTGCAGTCTTTTTTCCAGGTTTCTTTATTTGTTTTTTACCTTTTTCAGTCACTTGATTATCAGTACATAGAAAATGTTATTTTAATCACAAGGGCGGGGCAAAACGGGATAGTATCCCATTATGCCCCGATCATCTTGCCCCGATCCACACGTAGGTAAAAAAGATGACGCAAAGATGGCGAAAAAATCTGGTTTGAATTTAATGTTTTGGACTACTATAATAAGCTCGGCATTGAAATAATACATTAACACAGGTACTTGAATGTCTGTACATCAGTTTTCGAATCAAATATCGCGTAAAAACACTTGCAATATCACTTTTTTCTCTCTGCAACGCAAAAACGAGTTCTAACCTGTTCGCTCTGCTTGGACACACTAGCGGAGAGTGAAGTTCGTGCAAATGGCGCTATCGCCGCTCCGAACACGATTACTATTCACGCACACAAGCTTACTTCCCGTGCTGCCCCGAACTTCATCTTGCCCCGGTCTCCCCTACTTATGAGACTCGACACAAATGCACCAAAATTTACTTTTGTCGTCCGAAATAAATGTACCTACATATTTTCGTCACACAGTATGAGAGTGAACAGAATGAACAGAAGTGACGTTGAGATGGAGGAATTGCCCTCGCGATCCTCCGATTTTCTTCGATAAACTGTTTCGTTCGTTCAATTTTCTAATACTCTCTCTCCCTCAATCCGAAATGTGTTGAGCAATGCTGTGTTCGCAACAATCTTCCTTTGAATGCGAGTAAATGTAATGTAATGACATACACACTAAAAAACCGGCCATTTTCATACTAATATTTAATAAAGGATATTCCACTTCAACGGCCTCTCACATGCACCGATCTAGGTGTTACCTCCGACACGAAACTTTCCTTCGTGCTACACATTGAAGCCACTATGTCTGCTGCAAACAGGATGTATGGATTCATTGTGCCAATCTCCAGAGATTTCTCGGATCCATCTACATCGAAAACCTTATACCATGCTTTCGTCAGATCAAAATTAGAATATGCATCAATAATCTGGAATCCATCTCATCAGTTGTATAGGTACCTAGAAAGTTGAATCAGTACAACGTCGTTTTCTAAAACTTCTCTACTATAGATCAGACAACATCTATCCAGCAATTGGATTTTCCCAGGATGCATTGTTAATTGTTAGCTAGACATGCTATGAATAACTGAGTTGCTGTCGTGATTGTCACTCCACAATTTTTCTTTTAAAACTGAATAATAATTTAATTATTGGCCCACATATTCTGCAAAAACTTAATTCAAAATGTACCTAGACCAACCTCTAGAGTGGTTAATCCTTTTTATCTGTCAACACCACGTACAAATATTCTGAAACGTTCACCTATGCATAACATCTGTGTCAAATGCAATTCAGCAAGTTGTCAACTCGACGTTTTTTACTGTTCCATCTCTGATATTAGGTCTTTTTACTTCAGCTAATTCTATATGTATTGTTTTCACCTTACAACTTATTGTAATTGTATTGTAATTTGACTTACATCCCTGTTCTGCAGTTGGGTGTAAACTGTAAACCTGTAGAACAGTGTATAAATGAATAAATAAATAAATATGGCCGCTGTGACAACCAACCCGTCAGAAAACCATACTCGGTCTCCCCTATCTTTTTGAGTGTTATCTGTCGCCATAGTAATATAGTTTTCATCGACATTTTTGGGGATTTTCATCTTCTACAATTTGAAAAAATATAAAAATTGTAGTGGGGAACCTCATACAGGTGTATTGTTGTATTATTTTCTTCAATAACAATCTTCATACTCTTTTCAGGATGTAGCAACAAATTACTTTCCTTCAGTATTAAAATGAAATCAACTTAGTCGTATCACATGAAATGCATATCATAAATATGATTTTTCTGAGTCGAACCGTTTGTGCCATTAAGAAAAGCTCAATATTTCATCAGAAATCATCAAATATGCGTTCGCAAAAAATATGACATGACTCCTTTTTGTCGAAACTTACAAATTTCAGAATTGCCATTGTGACGACAGATGCTGAGACGCTGATGGTATTAGAAAGTAGGGGAGACCGGAGTTGGAAGTCACATTTTTTGTGTTTTGCAGTTTTACTGTCCTTTTTCATAAATTATCAATGATATTTTTATATCAATAAATGGTGTTTTTATACTCTTTTAAAAAAATATTCTTTTTTTCTCCAACATCATCCATAAAGGAAATATAACAATTCTTATGGAAAAGAAGAAGTGTGACTTTAAACCCCGGACCGGGGATGGTTGTCACAGTATCTGGGGCAGGTAGTCACATAAACATTTGAGGGACATAAAAACATTCGAATGAATATTTTCATTGAAAGTGGATTAATATACATGATTAATTATATCCAAGAAGAGAAAAAAAGTGTCTCATTCGTAGATAAAAACATTTGCTCCAAGCAAAAAAACTTCCATCTAACTTCAGATTATAGTCATCAACTATCTCAATTTTATAATTTCCCTACACATTTACTCGTTAATAAATTCAAATAAGTTGCAATTCATGCAAATTGTACATAAGACTGAGGAATATTGAATATTACCAGTAGGAATCAGATATTAAAAATCAATTGAGTTTGTAACTCGCCGAACCATTAAAATATTTCGAAAAAGCAATTATCGTGGCGACAGGCTCATATTCCTGAAATGATACCTTAAATGATTTGAATTCCAAATGAACTTATCAGTAGGTACTCGAATAACGAACAAAGCTAACAGTAACGAAACTTTGAATATTTCAGAAACATAGCTTGAAATGATGAAGGTAGGATGGGCAGCTGTCTCAAAAATAGCTGAGTTTTTCGAATTTTTGTCACCACAAGGGTACTATCTCGTATACTGAACGGTTTAGGAGCTGTCCAATAATCACGTGATGTCAAATTCAAATTCAAATTCAAATTTTATTGCATCCATATTCTATTAACAAGAAATAGATCGGATTAGTTCAAGTTCACAAATGAAATTGTGTCTGATGAATATGTACAATTAAAATGACAAACATAAATAATGATTTGGAAAAGGAAAGAAGATTACATTCTTGAATGTTATGAAACATCGAGTCAAAAACCGAATT